CCCACACTTTGGCCGAACTAATCTTTATAAAACACTCGACTATACCACTCTCTTGATCAAACACTTCAGTGGCTTCCTGTGGCCAACAGATAACATTTAAGTTTCTTTTTTTTTTTGTCTTTTTCCGTGTCCGGCAACGGATCGCAACCCTCAGTGTTGCCCCCGTACCGGACCGGGGACCGGCAACGGGATTGCAACCCTCGGTGTTGCTCCCGCGCCTCGCTCAGCCAGTGAGCGGGAACCGGTCTGTATGTGGGATCCGAACCCTCGGGCAGGAGCGCCACCGCGCTTCCCAAGCGGCGCACTTATCCAGTGCGCCACCGGGCTGGCCCCTACTTCCAAGAATTCTGCAGGAGGCCTTGTGATTCTATTTCACAGATAAGGAAACTGAAGCCTGGAGAGATCAAATAACTCGTCAAGGCAACGTAGCTTATCAAAGGCAGGATTTGAAGTCAAGTTCTAACATGTGGCATTGACTCATTCAATAAATATTTATTAAGCACCTACCACATGCAAGGCACATGGCTTGCCATTAGAGATACAGGAGCATCCCTGGCTGATGACAGTGACGACGAGGAGGAAGAAGAGAAGGAAGTGAAGGAGAAGGAAAAGGAGGAAGGTAACTATGGAAGCAGAGGGAACAAGACAGCCAAAGGCCTTGAGGAGGAAAGAAGCAGGATGTGTTCAAAGAATTGAGAGAAGGCCAGCACGGCTGGGACGCAAAGGGTAAGAGGGAAAGGAGCACTGGATCAGGGTAGAGCAGTAGAAACAGCCAGTCCAGGGAGGGCTTGTATTCCATGATAAGGAATTTGGCTTTACAAAAAGAACTACAGGAAGCCTTTCAAGAGCTTTAACTAGGAACGTGATATAATCAGATTTTCATCTTTATTTTTGTGTGTGTGATTGACCAGTACAGGGAACTGAACCCTTGACCCTGGTGTTACGAAGCTCTGACCAACTGAACTAACTGGTCAGCCCAAGATTTTTATCTTTAAAAGATTCTTCTGGTTGCTGTGTGGAGAATGGGCTACAGAGCATCAAGACTGAATATGGGGAGATCAGCCAAGAAGCTATTACAGAGGTTTAGGGGAAAGACAGTGAGAGCTGAGACTAGAATAACTGAGGTGACAATGGAAGGAAGTGAAGAAATAGAAGATAAATCAACAGGACTCAGTGACTGATTAGCTATCTCCAAAATGGTGTTTGGAATGACTTCCATGGTTTGAGCAACCAGGTGAACACTGATGCCCTGCACTGAACATACAGGATGCTAACGGAAGACCAGGTGGAAGGGAGAGCTTCTTCATTTCACTTTGGACATTTTGAGTTTGAAAGGCCTGTGAGACATCCAGATGAAGATATCAAGTGGGAAACTGGAAAACTCAAATGCAGCAGTTACTCTAAGCTCATGTTGCTTTTATAACATACATTATATCCTGCCTGAATCAGAGCTGATCCTGAGTACATCTGTCTCTTCCAAAAGGTTACCGCCTAGAGAACCCAAGCTATGTCTCAGTCATCATTGCATTCCCATACATTGCAACTGCCCCTCCTGTACACCCCCCAAACCACCCCCCTTACCTGAATGTTGTTGCATGTGGTCAAATCTCCGCTCCCAGTCCACCCGGACCTGGACGTGGCTCCCGGGAGCCAGGGCTGTCTGTGTGAAATGTTCAGCCTGGGCCCCCTGGCGGGTCACTCTTAGCACAGAGATGTCATTGATTGTACCCCGGTCATCAGGCTGGGGAAAAGAAGTAAAGACAATCAATGGTGAGGCAGTTACCCTCTAGTTACCCTCTAGAGAAAGTGAGAGACAGACCCAGAATTTGAGCTCCCTAAGGGAGAAGGAGGAGGCAGTGCAAATGGGGTGGGTCCACTTTGTTCCATGAAAGAATTCTCATCCTCTTTACTCTGAACATCTATATATTTTATTCTTCAGAATAGAATAACAGAATTAAAACAAAAAGAGATTATAACTACAGCAATGAAGATTTTTGTAAAACCTACAGAACCTTAATTCTCACTCTCATTGCTCTGGTTTAGATTCTTAGCTTTCTACAGTCTCTGAAATGATCTGGCTTTTTTGGATCCCCATACTGGCCAGCCACCATAAATAGATAGATAGATAGATAGATAGATAGATAGATAGATAGATAGATAGATAGATAGAGAGATAGAGAGATAAAATGATATGACTTTTCCTCCTTACCTCCACTCTACCCTGTGCAGTTATCTAGAATTAGATTTTAAAATATTCAACTCTGCCATAAAAAAGAATGAAATACTCCCATTCGCAACAATATGGATGAACTTGGAGAAACTTATGTTGAGTGAAACAAGCAAAGCACAGAGGGATAAATACCACATGTGCTCACTTATATGTGGGAGCTAAGAGAGAAAGTAAGGCAGGAAAGAAAGACCACAGTAGTGCCGTGATACAACAGAGGGAGGGAACAGACCTAGGGCTACAAATTGGAGTTGAGGGGAGAGGGGAAGGGGAGGGAAGTTGAGGGATAACTGGAAGGGGACAAAGGGTACGAAAGTAATTTCTGGTAATGGGTATGCCCCCAATATGAATCTGGCCCCTACATCATGGGCAGGAGGGGAGACAATCAGCTTTGTATCTCATGAATATTCAAAATAAATAAATAAATAAATAAAATAAAAATATTCATCCATTTAAAAAAGTATCAAGTGCCAACTGCTTACAAGACACTGTGCCAGCTCAAGAATACAATGTAAACAAGACAAGATCTCTTGTAGAACATAAGAGTCTGATGAAGAACACCAACAGGCAATTGCAATATGATTTACATCACATCGTAAGATGAAAAAGTATATGGTGCTAGAGAAGCTCAAAGAAAACAGACTTAATAGTCTTGGGGAATCAGGGAAGAATTTCTAAAAAAATGATGTCTAAAATGAGACCTTTGTCACCTCTCACAGAGTGACAGATAAGCAAAAGATGACTCAGAGCCCATGTATTCAGAGCAATGAGAAGCCCAAAGAGACTGCACCCAGAGAAAACTCCTCCAAGAGAGGAGAGCCCAGGCACAGCCCCGAGTCAGGTTTTGCTTCAGTTTTTATTGTAAAGACAAAGTTACAGAAGAAACACAGGTGATTAATCAATCATAGTGAAAACATAAACAAACTGGCTACATAACAATCTTCATTAAAGCAGGTGTAACTTAAAACAGTTCAAGCAACTTATCATCAAAGCTATGTGACACACAAAAGGAAACGAGATAATCACCATAGCAGTGCTTAGCTCCCCAAGAAACTCAAAGAAACAGCTGCGGGTAAGATGTGGAACATCCTCCAACCACTAACTAGCAGAATACCCTTGAAGATTTTAGCTCACATACTCTTCCATCATTTAGGTTTAGCTGCACCAAGGGCAACTGCCCCCAGAGCAATCACTTTTCGCTGTGCGCCAATTCTCTTATCTACATCAAAGGCTTTAGTCCTGTGTAAGTTTTCTGGTCTTTCCTAATCTTAGCATTTCTACGTGTTTTCCTAAAGAGTTGGGCTTTGGCTTAAACTAAGGACTTTGGTCCTTCTATGCTATAGGCTTTGGCCCTGTGAAATACATGTGTTTTACTTCTATCTCATTAATGTCAACATCCTCCACAGACCTTCTATGGATACTTGAGGTAAGAAGTTTTCTCTCCATAGATCAGGAAATCTCCTGATGGGAAAAATCACTGTATAATGATGACAGATATGAAATTGGAGCTTTCTCAATATTAAGTCTACTGAACATGTTGCTTCTTGGCCTAAGAACCTACATGGCTCGTTAGTTTCCTGAGTGAAATCCACACACCTAAATATATCCTTCCCTGTATCAGCCAGCTGCCCCCTCACCACACCCCCCTCAAAAAAAAAAAAAAAAATCCCGGGCCGGCCCGGGGGCGCACTGGATAGTGCGCTGCTTGGGAAGCGCGGCGGCGGCCCCCCCCCCCCCCCTCAAAAAAAAAAAAAAATCCCGGGCCGGCCCGGGGGCGCACTGGATAGTGCGCTGCTTGGGAAGCGCGGCGGCGGCCCCCCCCCCCCCCCTCAAAAAAAAAAAAAAATCCCGGGCCGGCCCGGGGGCGCACTGGATAGTGCGCTGCTTGGGAAGCGCGGCGGCGGCCCCCCCCCCCCCCCTCAAAAAAAAAAAAAAATCCCGGGCCGGCCCGGGGGCGCACTGGATAGTGCGCTGCTTGGGAAGCGCGGCGGCGCTCCCGCCCGACGGTTCGGATCCCACGTACGGACTGGTTCCCGCTCGCTGGCTGAGCGAGGCGCGGGAGCAGCCCCGAGGGTTGCAGTCCCGTTGCCGGTCCCCGGTCCGGTACGGGGGCAACACTGAAGGTTGCGATCCGTTGCCGGACACGGAAAAACACAAAAGACAAAAAAATATATATATATATATCCTTCGAGGCCCTCTAACCTGGCCCCCACTACCTTTTCACAGTCATCTCTAGCCTGTCATCAACATGCTTCATAGGCTCCAAATGTATTGGTCTATTTACAGTTAACTAGGCTTGTCAGATCCTTTCAGGCTTCCCTGCCTTTCTTTGTGCGATTATTTCTGCTAGAAAAGCTTCTCCCATAATGCCTGCCTTTGGTGTTATTATCCTCCTCTTTCATGCTCAAAATGTACCTCATTTGTGTTCACATCGTACCTAGTGTCTACCCTATCACAGCATTGACAATTCTGCTCTCTGTTAAGCTATTGTAACCCATCTACCTCACCTCAACTCTCTCGGAGGCATCTTTTTCAGTCCCTGTCAAACGTCTAAGCTAATTTCCACCTCAAGGTCTTTACACTTGCTGTTTTATCTGCCTGGAATATTCCTACTCCCACCACCACCATTCAATAACGCTCATTTCATTTAGGACTCTACTGAAAATAACTTGCCCCCCATCACCCTCTTTGCTTTACTCAGCTTCATTTTTTTAAAAAATTATTCTCTTTCCAGTTTCATTTTTATTTGTATTACTTATTATACCTGGCATACACAGTTGTCTCCAATAAACATTCCATGTATGCAAAGACACTGTCTTGTTCACCCTTTATCCTCAGAGACTGAAATAATAAATACCTAGCATATGTTATGTCTAGATAAGTATTTATTGAATAAATAATGAAAGGAACTGAACTAACGTTCATTTGAATTCGTTATGGCTGAGAGAGTAGGAGCAGGAGAGCATTTTCTGCCTGAGCTCAAAGGAATCAGGGACCTCCTGGGAGAGCGACGGGCCCGGTACCTGTCCCCCGCCCTCAGGGAAGAGCAGCGTGTCTTCCAGCACCACTTGGAAACCGCTCAGCACTTCTTTCTTGCCGCTGCTCCCTTCGGTTTGCAGCTCTGCGGGACGGCAGGAGACCACGGTGGTGCTGAACTGGCCGGAGAGGGAAGAGAGAATAAGCCCTCTCCCCACCAAGATGGAGTGCCATCTCGGCACACCCTCCGCGCGGGGCCCTCGTCCCCAAACCTCCCCGTAGGCCCAGCAACATCAGGTTCCTTGCCCAGCTGGCCGCACCTCCCGGGCGTAGCTGTCCCGCTGACACCAGAACGCCATCGCTGCTGTTTCCCAAGACGCGGGGACCGCACAGGCTGATAAACCTGGGAGCGGGCGGAGAGCGACGTGGGACAAACTTCATTAAGAGCTCGTCTCTGCGCAGAAGCGAGAGGGAAAAGAACGGGGGGAGGTTGGGACAAGTTTACTGAAAACGCGAATCGCTGGCTGGCTGCGTCGTTTAGCAACTGTTTTAAGAAAACAGGGGAAACACTTTAGGAAGTAGGACTGGGCAAAGACTATGAATAAGACCCCAAAAGCACAAACAACAAAAGAAAAAATAAACAAATGGGATTCTATCAAACTAAAAATCTGCACAGCAAAGGAAACAATCAACTGAGTGAAAAAACCTACAGAATGGGAGAAAATATTTGCAAACTACACATCGGACAAGGGATTAATATCCAGAATATACAAGGAACTCAAACAGCTTCACAGTAGAAAACAAATAATCGAATTAAAAAATGGGCAAAGGAGCCGAATAGACATTTTTCAAAGGAAAATATACAAATGGCCAAAAGGTACATGAAAAAATGCTCAACATCACCAATCATCAGGGAAACGATAATCAAAACCACATTGAGATATCATCTCACCCCATTTAGACTGGCCTTTATTAAAAAGACCAAGAATATCAAATCCTGGCGAGGATATGGAGAAAGGGGAACTTTTCTACCCTTTTGTTGGGGCTGTAAAATAGTACAGTACAGCCACTATGGAAAACAGTATGGAGGTTTCTCAAACAACTACAGATAGAACTACCCTATGATCCAGCAATCTCACTCTGGGTATATACCTAAAGGAATGGAAATCATCATGTCGACGGGATCCCTGCACTCCCGTGTTCATCACAGCTCTATTTAAAATAGCCAAGATACGGAACCAACCGAAATGTCCACAAACGATGACTGGATAGGAAAACGTGGTGTGTGTGTGTGTCCACCAACAATGACTGGATAAGGAAAATGTGGTGTGTGTGTATACACACACACACACACACACAATGGAATACTACTCAGCCATTAAAAAAGAATGAAATTCTGCCATTTGCAGCAACATGGATGAGATTGGATAAAACTACATTAAGTGAAATAAGCCAGACACAGACAGAAATATCACATCCTTGCTCATAAGTGAGTGCTAAGAAGGAAGGAGAGAAAGACCACAATAATATGTTGAACTTTCAGAGGGTGGGAACAAATCTATGGTTAATAAAGTTGGGAAAAGGGGAGGGAGAGGGAGGTTACGGAGAAATTGGGTAAGGGGCATGAAGAATAATTATGATTTGTAATGATATGCTAATAAAAAATTTAAAAATAAAAAAAGAATCTTGGCATATGGTAACAAAACCTAGAAAGAAAATATGTTCACTAATGATGTATTTAGGATTATTTCATTATTATTCAGAGAGTGATCCACAGTTTTTTTCTTTTGTTTTTCCGACAGCTGGCCAGTACAAAGAACCACACCCTTGACCTTGGTGTTACAAGGCTGTGCTCTAACCAACTGAGCTAACTGGCCAGCCCTGAACAGTATTTATTTTAATGTATTTTTTGTAAGACTTTTTTGTGCCCACTTAATGTCAACTTTGTAAAAAGAATTTGGAAAGTTTTCTTGCTTGTCTATGCTATGACTATTTGAATATAATTGGAATAAATGATTAATTGAAAGGGGGGGGGGAAGACTTTGAAAAGAGCCAGAAAACAAAACAAAACAAAAACCGTGGCCTGCACTTGTCAGGGCACATAGTTTAGGTAGCCTTTTGGGCCCCGGGGACATATATAATTCTGCCTATGGAATGCCAGCTGCTTAGAAGTAGGATGGTTCTGGCTTGGATACAGAGCAGTGCCGCCAAATAGAAATACAATGCAATGCATATATGTGAGTAATATATTTTATTTAAACAACATATCCAGAATATTATTTCATCATGTAATGAATTTTAACAATTAACGAGATGCTATACTCCCCCCACCCCCATTCAAAACAGTCAAAACCCAGTGTGTATTTTACATTTAGCCCATCTCAGTTTGGACCAATCACATTTCAAGTACTCAATAACAACGTGTGGCTAGTAGTGCTCCCGAATTGGACAGAGCAAATAAAGAGGTTAACAGAAGTTATCAAGCTGCAATCAATGTCTTAAAACATTAAATAGATTAAAAGTTAAAATTAACTCTCTGTTCTTTAGATCAACTAATAAAAAGTTTGAAGACTCCAGAGGTTTCAGAATTTAGAATTTTTAGGGCCAGCCCGTGGCTCACTCGGGAGAGTGCGGTGCTGATAGCACCAAGGCCACGGGTTCAGATCCCTATATAGAGATGGCCGGTTCGCTCACTGGCTGAGCGTGGTGCTGACAACACCAAGTCAAGGGTTAAGATCCCCTTACCGGTCATCTTTAAAAAAAAAAAAAAAAAAAAGAATTTAGAATTTTTCAGATTTTAAGCAGGTAATGCAGAGCATACCTCATGTGTTATATAACACCCTTCCTTGGGACTCTGGAGAAGTATCATGTAATCCAACGTATTAATATTTACACTGTGAAATAAATATGCGAAATGGGAATAAGACTTTTAGGTCAAGTATTGTTGTCGAATTAGTTTTGGTGTTAATTTTTTTTAGAAAGTCTCGGGTTTCACAGCTTTTTGGTCTTCAGAATTGTGGATAAGGGAACATGTTCTATACAAGTTCAAGTTCAAGTCCCAACTCTGCCATTTATTGACCTGTTTAATCTCCTTTGAAGAAAAAGCTTGCTTATTTAATAAGGTTGACATGAGGCTCAAAAAATTTTAATGAGATCATATATAAATACTTAGTAAGCTGTAAAGCATAATAGTAATATATAGCTTTGCATTACCAATTTTTCAGAAAGCTTAGACTAATGTCAATAGCAAAATGGTCAAAAACATGGACAGAGCACATTAACAGAAATATGAATTGCCAATAAAAATGAACAATGTGAACAATGTGCATGCCAGAATTCACTCCCTTCAAAAATAAATAATGTGCAATCTTATAGTCTCATAAAAAAGCAAATTAAACCAGATACAAATTTTTATCTTGTTAAATATCTAAAAGGTTTTGAAGAACGGAACACTGTAGTTGGTAAGAGTAAGAATTGGGACAATTTCATTAAAGGATAACTTGGCAACAGCTATGAAAATGTTTAAATGTGCCTACTCCTTGACCTAATAATTCCACATCTAGAAATTTACCCTACAGCTGTTCTGATGTATGTATATGTAAAGATACAGACCACTGGGCATTGCTGACATGGTAAAGGTGACTAGGAAACCTCAAGCCTCTTGCAGAGTCAACCAACCAACCATAAACACCAAAGGGGGGGAAGAAGAGGAAGACCCCGTCTATACCCAATTCCAGAGGTCCTGCCAAGGTGCCCAAGGCAACCAGGAAGCTTAAAATGAGGTAGGAGGTGCTCGGTTTCCCTGGGTTCAGGTTACAGGAGACACCTGTGGGTTTCAAGCCACTCCCCAAGGTCTCGGGTCCCTCTTCTAAGCCCTCCCCTAAAAGAGAGTAACAATTGCTTATTGCACCTATTTTCAGCACCTATAGGGGAAATTGAGAAGTCAGGGGGCTGACTTATGCAAATCCAGTCGTTGGGCATGCTCATTAGAAAGGGTTATATAACCCTAATAGTCAAGCATGCTCCATAAAGTAGAGTTTATCCTCTGAATGCGTGAGTACATGTTAGGGAAACTAAAAACGTTGAATCCCCCCAGAAGGCTAGGCTCTTGCTCACTCTCCTAAAGGCAGCCAGCACTTTACCTGAAGCATGTATTTCTTTCTTTTTGTATCAAATTTGCCTTTAGCAGGCTGCTGTTTACTGTGGGGCCAGCCCACTCTTTGTAAATGTGTATTTCTTACTTTTGTATTAAACTTGCTGGTTGTTGCTCACTTTCCTGGGGCCAACCCACACTTCAGTGGCTGAGGAGGGTAGGCTTTACTTTTGTGTTAAACTTACTTTTAGCAGGTGGCATTCTCTTGAGCCAGCCTGCACTCTGTGCTAAACTGGAAGTGTGGATTTGTTACTTTATTATATTAAACCTGGTGCAGGCCTTGCTCAGTCTCTGGAGCTAGGCCACACTCTTTCTGTGAAATCTATATCTCTTATTCTTTATAATAAACCTGTTCTCACTTTCTTCTATGACTCTGCCCTTGAATTCTTTCCTGTGGTAGAGTCAAGAACCTGATAAGAGGACGAGGTGAGTTGTGGCCAGCTATAGGGCCTCTCCAGACCCTCTACTCCGGCACCAAAAAGATGGAGCTTTTTGATGAAGGAAGGTTTTCTTTTTTTGATCAAGGGAGTTTGAGAAAAAAAGCCCCTCGAAAAATGACCAACCCTTCAATTAAACCTAAGAAAGGGAGAGGGGCAACAGTATCTGATCACTATCACTAGCTGAATGAGAAACTGCATCAAAACAAGCCAGAGTAGGACCAAAAGAGCGGGGAGAGCCCCCCACCTTTAGTGTTGACCTGGGTAGCCTCAAAACTGTGAAGCCTCCAGAGGTCTGGCTGCTGGGAAGTGGCCAGTGGATTTTACACCAACAGGGTACACGATGGTGATAATTAAAATAAAATGTGCCTGTTGTGAAAAAAAAAATATGTAAAGATATACATTTTTAAATGCTCACTGCAACGTTATGTGATAATTGAAAAAGACTAACAGCCTAAATGTCCCTCAATAAGGAACCAGTTAAATTATAGTTAATGAATTCAATGTAATATAATGTAGCCATGAAAAAGAATGGGTTAGATCTAAGTGCACTGATTTAGAAAGATCTCCAACATATATTAAGTAAAAAAAAGCACAGTGCAAGATGTACACGATTTGATTCCAATTGTGTACACATTACATTTGCTTATATATATTAAATTTTAATATATGTCATACTGTTTATAAACGTATATGACACTGTATATATTTATGTTCCATATATGTCGTACATTGTTTTATATATTGTAATTATACCTTATAACTATATAAAAGAAATAATAGATATTATGGAATTTATAATACAGTACAGTGTATCTTACATACAATAAATTACAGTATATCATATAGTACAGTATCATATGTATTTGAGGGTACTTCAAAAAGTTCATGGGAAAATAGGGCCGGCCCGGTGGCGCACTGCTACAGTGTGCCGCTTGGGAGTGTGGCGGCGCTCCTGCCAAGGGTTCGGATCCCACATACAGACCGGCCGCTCACTGGCTGAGCGAGGTGCAGGCGCAACACCGAGGGTTGCGATCCCGTTGCCGGTCCCGGTCCGGTACGGGCACAACACTGAGGGTTGCGATCCGTTGCCGGTCACGAAAAAAGACAAAAAGGGAAAAAAAAAAAAATAGAGAAAATAAATTCCTGTGTACCTCATTAGATATTGTGAAACATTATGAATATTATATATAAAAATATATATAAGATTATGTTATACACAACATGATATTACGTAACTGTTGGTTTTACTGTGTTGCATTTTGAAAATTGTGACAAATTAGCAATTTTGATTGCAGCAGTTCTGATAAATTTAAAAATATCACAAAAAAATGTAAAATACTAAAATTTCCCAAAATTAAGAATTTTTCTATAAGAAAATACAATTAAGAGAGATTACGAATCTTCCCACAAATTTTTTGAAGACTCCTTGTATATATAAAACTGTTAAAAATGATTACCCCTATTCAAGGGTGCAAATTTTACTTTAAATTTTATATTCTTCTATACTATTTTATTTTTTTAAACTATGTCCAGCTGTCTGGGCTTAGACCTAGTTTGCAGTAACATGGCTAAATGCACCAAGAAGATCAGGATCATTTTTTTTTTTTTCCCTTTTTGTCTTTTTTCGTGACCAGCAACGGACCGCAACCCTCAGTGTCGCGTCCGTACCAGACCGGGACCGGCAACGGAATCGCAACCCTCGGTGTTGCGCTCACACCTCGCTCAGCCAGTGAGCAGCCGGTCTGTATGTGGGATCCGAACCCTCGGCGGGAGCGCCGCTGCGCTCCCAAGCGGAGCACTGTAGCAGTGCGCCACCGGGCCGGCCCTTATAAAGTATTTTTTTTTTCCCTTTTTTGTCTTTTTTCGTGACCGGCATCGGATCGCAACCCTCAGTGTTGCGCCCGTACCGGACCGGGACCGGCAACGGGATCGCAACCCTCAGTGTTGCTCCCGCACAGGATCATTGTAAATACAGAAACTGCTATGGTGCCTCCCTCCAGAAAAAGGTGATGAAAATTGAAATCAGCCAGCACACCAAGTACATTTGCTTCTTCTGTGGCAAAACCAGATGAAGAGATAAGCAGTGGGGATCTGGTACTGTGGTTCTTGCATGAAAACAGTAGTTGGTGGTACCTGGACCTACAACACCACTTCTGCCGTCACAATAAAGTCCGCCACAGAAAACTGAAGGCATTGAGAGACCAGTAGAAGCTCCACCATTTGAGACATCACTAGCCTATAATAAATGGGTTAATTTATATAACAAATAAATAGTAAACTGGGTTGGCCAGCTGGTTCAGTTGGTTAGAGCGTGGTGTTGGTAACACCAGTCAAGGGTTCGGATTCCCTTACTGGCCAAGCTGCCAAAATAAATAAATAAATAAATAATGAGCCATGTCCATATATTGCTTATATAAATTTAAAAGTTTACTTTTTTAATAAATCCCAGTACTTTACTATGAGTTCAAAAGCAAAGTCTGTGGGTACTGCATTTTAAATCAGTCTTTTGTATACATTAGGCAGTCAAAAACAAAATTTATTACTCTTTCCCCCCTTCTCCTGCAGTTGACTAGTCTTTAAAAAAAAAAAGTATTTGTGAATAAGTGGAGTAACTGTTGAATGGAAGAGTAAACAGGCTATACATTAACTGCAGTAACAATTAGGTTTAAAAGTGTGAAGAGATCTCTGGAGTGTGCAGGAAGCTCAGGTGGCTGATTCTACGGATGACAATATTAGCCGTGAGAAATCAGAGCACAGACCTAAGGAAGAGGAAGTCCCCCAGCTTGGTTACAAGCCTGTCTCCAACATTTTTCTTCTTCCAACCTCAACAATGAGGACAAGGATCTCTGACGCCCATCCCATCCCCTCGAGAGGAATTTTAGAGAAAGAAAACGCTTGCCACCAGGAAGAAGAAATACAAGAAGGAAAGAGACAGATAACAGTTCCCAGAGATTTATTATAACTATACGTTTCTTCATTGGCTTTTGCTCTGCCACATACACACATACTCAAATAATCAATCAGCCCAAACACAGAGATTATAAACCAATTAGTAGGACATTAGAGGCCTCGCCAGTCTACTCCTTCCCCTGTCCTGCCATCTGATGCAGCACCATAGTCAAGTGCCCAGCAGGAAGACATAACGCATGAAGGAGGGCCTTCAATAAAGAGCTTCTAGGAAATTCAGAGATCGCAGAGGACCTTGGTGCACAAAGAACTGACAAAAGACTCAGGCCCTAGCTTTTCAGAGTAACTGGAAAGCTACTCCCCAGCTCTGCTGTCATAGAAAGTTAATTATTTGTTGCATCGGCACTGTCAGAATCATCCTAGGGAAAAAAAAGATAAAGCACCTATAGACTCTGCAAAGAGTGAACATTTGTGTTCACAAATGCTGCTCACTCCCTCCTGCTCTCCAAGCTTCCTTCTGTGATTTTTTAAACCAAACAACTTCTTAGAAGGTTAATAGGGAAGGATTTAACTTTGGACAATAAACCACTGGTATTCAATAAACAGCACTGTCGTGCATCATTTAGTTTCAGAATTTCAGTTAATGCTACTGTTCCTTACATCTGTAAAGATTCTCAACAGGGCCAGTCTACTCTAGGATGGAGAAGAAGAAGGGAAGATGGAAAAGAGAAGGGTCACGCAGGGGTTTTCTAAAGCCTGGAGAAGATCATTTGACCTCCTGTGTCACATTTGACTTGTTTAACATGCGCTGAGAGCTACTGTGTGCTAGGGATAGGAGCTTGCTGGTATGTTGTTTTTAAGGGCTAAAAAGAAACCGAAAGGTTGAGGGGAAGGCTTTACTTACATCCAGATCATCCATGGCAGGGGCAGGTCTTTTGGTGCTGACCTTCTGCAAAAGCTAGTGCAAAGAGAAAATAGTCGCAAGTGAGAAGGGGAGTGAGGGAAGAGCAATTTGCATATTGACGGGCCATAGAACAGTCCCAGCCAGGGCCAGTCAAGCATCTGCTCCAATCTTTAAAGCTCCTAATACATCACTGTAATGAATTGGGGAAAAGTAAATTGATCTCCTTCTTAAAAGGAAATTTAAATGCACACACAGAGCACCCTCCTTAGTAGTCCAGATTGGGATCTGTGCTTTTGCAACTTGAGTGAATAGTAGCTGAAATTCTGATGCCAAATAATTTATGACAGGGTGCAATTTATTGTGAACCAGTGATTTATTTTATCATGTATATTTTTATACTACTTAGTTTTAGCTTCCCATGAAGTTGTCTGGCTCAGAAAAAAGAAAATAGATGAGAGAACAAGAATTACAGAAAAGTAAGAAAAGGTTTTGTCAAACTTTTTCAGAACACTGCTTCTACCCTTTGTAATTTCACTAAGATTCATTCCTTTCATCCCTACTAAATAAACATTGCACAAAATATGTAAAGAATATCAGCAACACTGAGTAGCCTGTCTAGGGAGCTCGGTATATCACTGCCTGGCCCTGATGACTCTTCTAGAGAAATGTGAGCAGAGAGACAAGGGGAATGATCAAAACAGGCAGAAAAGGGCAGGTACTGTCTCTCTCACCTCTGCATAATGTTCCACCTGAGCCAGCTCCACCTCTTCATCCCCTTCCCAGTCTCTCCAGTTATCAAAGTCCACAGACAGCCACACTGGCTGCAAATGGAAGCACAAAGAGTCACAGGCAGCGGGAGTGCATGGAAGAGTGTGGGCGTGTGCATGGGCGTAATGCTTGGGGGTAAGAGGGCCAATGGGAATTCAGCACCCCTTGGATCAACCCCCTTCCAGGCTGCAGTGTCATCATCATCACCCACAAAGATTTATCAGGAAACTACTAAATGCCAAGCACAATGCCAGGCATGGTAGGGTATGAAAAAGCGTTAGAAGTTCTGCTTTCCAGGAGCAGATTGACAGACAACACATCTGGAAATATAACTGTATCATAAAGTATCAGAGGAGTTGACCAAGCAAGACAGACAAGCTGCATTCCCTGGAGTCAGAGACAACCGTTCTTCAAGGCCCATGTTCCAAAGTTCCCATTTATACAGGGAAGAAATTATTCACTCATTCATTTAACAGATATTTACTGAATATATACTATGGGCCAGACTCTGAGCTCAGCATTAGCATTATAAATATGTTCACCACATTGTCCCCGTCATCGAGAAGCAAGAACGGAAGGGAGATGTAAACAAATCATCATAATACAGTGTGAAAAGTGTGGTGGTGGAGTTATATAGGGAATATCATGGGAACCCAGGCTTCTTGGAGTAGCAGGGCCTGGAAAAATGCACAGGAGTTAAGAGGGTGAAGATGTGGTGGTGATGATGACTTTCCAGGAGGAAGGCACACTTGAGCAAAGGTACAGAGGTGAGAGCCTGGTAGCCTGGTTTGTGCAAAAGAGCTGCAAACAGCTTGCTGTGGCTGGAATGAAAGCTTGAGGCAGAAAGTATAGGATGGGCTGTGTTATGCTATGGTGTTTAGACTTCAACCTAAAGGGCAGGAGTCACAAGCCCAAATGTCCAAAAGAGTCAGGGAGGTAATGAAAAGAAGTAGAGTGAGGTAGAGTGTGTGCTCCATTTAAAGCTTCCACTCAAGACATTTGGGAATTTATACCAGTGTGGCCAGATTATCCCATCCTTCAAGAGAAGCTGATAATCTGGATTTTTAGGTGAAATATCCACATTTTTATTTGTATTTTTTAAAATTTTTTATTATCATTATTTTTTAAAAAGATGGCTGGTAAGGGGGTCTCAGCCTTTGGCTTGTTGTTGTCAGCACCACGCTCAGCCAGTGAGCCAACCGGCCATCCCTATATAGGATCCGAACCCATGGCCTTGGTGTGTTATCAGCACCACACTCTCCCGAGTGAACCATGGGCCGGCCCTGAAATATCTACATTTTTAAATGTCAGCAACTAATCAAAACTTTTATATGGCAGTAATCAATCAAAATAATTTTTAACACTATAAAGATTGCTAAAACAAATTTGAGAGCCAGATCCAGCCAGCAGGTAGCCAGTTTTCAACTTTTAAGGCAAAAAAAGCCACTGGAGGGTCATATGTGGGAGAGTGACAGGGTCAAATGTGTGTTTTAGAAAGACCATGCTAGGGCCGGCCCGGTGGCGCACTGGAGAGTGCGCCGCTTGGGAGCGCGGCGGCGCTCCCACCAAGAGTTCAGATCCCATGTGGAGACTGAGCACGGTGTGGGCGTGACACCAAGGGTTGCGATCCCGTTACCGGTCAGTAAAAAAGACAAAAAGGGAAAAAAAAAGGAGGGTCATATGTGGGAGAGTGACAGGGTCAAATGTGTGTTTTAGAAAGACCATGCTAGGGCCGGCCCGGTGGCGCACTGGAGAGTGCGCCGCTTGGGAGCGCGGCGGCGCTCCCACCAAGAGTTCAGATCCCATGTGGAGACTGAGCACGGTGTGGGCGTGACACCAAGGGTTGCGATCCCGTTACCGGTCAGTAAAAAAGACCAAAAAAAAGGAAAAAAAAAAAAAGAAAGACCATGCTGGGGGCAATGCAGAGGATGGTTGGGGGTGGGGCTGAAAATATGTAACAAACCTCTCACTCAGTGATGAATGAGGGCTGAACTAGGAAGAACTGAAGCAATGGATTCAAGGATATTTAGGAGGTCAAATAGGCAAGACCTGGTGACAAACTGAATGTTATCTGGAAAGGAGGCAAAGATGATCCCAGATCTAACTTGGGAATGTGGGTACATGAATGGGGAAAAAAGGAGCAGGCCATTTCCCACACACCCACCTTGATATCCTCTTTGGTGAGCCGGGGCCAGGCCACCTTCTCCTTCCATTTCCTCACAAAGCAAGTAATGGACCGGCCAGAGTGCTTATCTCGGGAGTCCTACCAGATAGAGAGCTTCATTTTTAGAGTATAAGGTTTATTATAACTCCAGTTTCTCTGGGCATCCAACCTTACTGTCCCACCCCACCATACCCTTACCTTGGAGTTCACCTTGGCATAGAACTCAATTTCATTGTACAACTCCACTCCATCAGCATTCTTGCAGCTGAGAAGACAATGAAGCTTAGGAGATGCAGGAGACTAGGTGTGGGGGCATTAGGGAAAGGAGGACATTCCTGGGAAACCAGGCCCTCCAGAGAGAAGGGCCATTACCTGAATACAATGCGGTGATCCTCAATGAGCACTTGGACATCGGTGCTGTCCTCAACGCAAAATTCCATGAACACATATTTGGGCCTGTCGTACCACAGGGTCCGGGCATGCTGCCTGAAGAGGAGTTGAGGTGGGGCTTTATAGGGGTGGGAGAGGGAAGACGGGGCATTTGGGAAAGGTGGAGAGAGGGGACAATGCAAGGATGTTTGATGCCACAATCTTGTCAAAGTGGAGCTAAAGAAGACAGAAGGGGGTGGAAGGGAGTTACGGGAGTGGGCGTGTGTGGTGAGGGCGAACCTGGGGAGAATATTCAGGGCACTCCTCTCCTCACAGAGACGTGGGATCTGGGGCTCCCACAATTACTGCTGAAACTGGAGTGCTCAGAAGGCCTGGGGCAGGGAATCTGCAGGGAAAAGGAACAAGGGGAGAACCGCGGCCGGAAACACTCACCGTGCCATGGCGGCTCCCACGGCTGGGTGGCGTTGGGAGTTCCAGGCAGGGGCTGCTATGTTTAGAACCCGGGGACGCCCCCAGCAGCTGCTTCTCCTTATATGGGCGGGGGAAGGGTTGAGCGAACGTGGCCTGTCAGCCAAGGGATCTGCACTTCGGAGAGACTCTAGGAGAGCTTAATTCCTGCAGCCCTTCACCTCTTGGGGGTCTCTGGGAATGGAAGAGATTAGGTTAGCAACAGACGACCCGGTGCTGGGCGGTTAGCTCGGTAGGTTAGAGCACAGCCTTGTAACACCGGTGTCAAGTATTCGGATCCCCCTATCGGCCAGCCGCCAAAAAGAAATTTAAAAAGAAATCAAGCCACCGCACCAAAAAAAGAAAGGAAAGAGACGACCCGCACGCTGGGACCGGGGCAAGGGCGACCCCAATCTCTAGACACAGGGAATGATTTGTTCCCGACCTCATTTTCCTGTTTCTCCAACGTTTAGTACTCAGTGCCCGATTCACAATAGACGATCAGTAAAAAGTCATCGGCCCGAGTCAAACCCCGGGGGCAGGCCCGCTCCGGGACCCCGGACTGCAAGCTCCGCCCGCCGCCCCTCCGGTTTCCCGGCCAGCGCGCCGTCGCCAGGGCAGCAAAGGGGCGCGGCTGACGTGCGGCGGCGTTTCCGGGAAGATGGCGGCCGTCGAGGCGGTTGCGGAGCCGGTAACGGTCGTGGCGGCTCCCGGACCAAAGACAAAGGACGAAGAGGAAGAGGAGCCGCTGCCACCATGCGAGACGGTGCGCTGGGCGCCGGTGGGGGCGGTGGCGGAGGCCGGGCCTGGGGCGGCTGCGTTTTCAGAA